TTCCTTTACTACCTTTGCTTCCAGGCCCACTACCACCTTGCCAACCCCTTTCACCACCCTCGAATTATATCAAAATATAATCAACGGCTTGTGTGCTGGCAAGATGGTCATTCATGCACGGACACGCGTAGGTGTTTCAGTGAGCCTGCTGACTACCACGTGTTGGCTTCTTCGCGTTGATTAGGGGTGGGATCGGATCGTGTTTTCACTTTTGCGTCTTCTGCTTTTCTTGGGGTTTGGGGAACTGTTGGAGTTATTTGTGCTATCGATTTGCTTCTACCTACTATGAAATTCTACAACTTACCAATACTTCATATTCTGTGGAAGCTGAAAAAATGTTGTCTCCCATTTCCAGTGTAGGTTATCATATTTTATAAATTTTCTGCCATTCTACTAGCAATCATCACTATCCATGTTCTTAAAAGTCTTTCTATACTATAATTATCCAGTTAATCTATCGTTTTCTCATTGCCCTAGTTCTATTCTAAAAATCCCCTTTCTTTCTATCCCTTGTCAATCTCAAAAATTTCACCATTACCAATACCATTATCCTTCTTACTCACACATTTGCCTTTATCCACCTTCTATTCCCTCTACACAACGAACTTCCCTCCTATCGTCCCTATTTAAGATCTCCGCATTGCATCCCTAATAGACTTCCATCCACCAGCTACAAATTTACCCATCCATCCATCCTGTCTACTACCGATTTTTCTTCGCAGACGATCTCACATGCGTACTCGGACCACACACATGTCGTTCGAGCGATACACACCCGTGAAACCCGGAAGAAGAGAGAAAGGGAGAGAGCGTGGCCTGTGGCCGGGGGGTTGAAGGGTGAATCGCGATGAGAGGAAAAGGGACGCGGAGCGATGGGGGTGGAGGGGGAAGTTTGTCCCGGGTCCGCCATGCGGAAACCTATCTCAGGCTAGTACTCCACCGGTCCGCGGTAACTAACCGTCAGCCGGGAAAATTCTCCCTTTTATGGTCGCGCCTTTTGGTCCTGCCACTCTCCACCCCCAACAACGTGCCACCGTCACCGCCACCCCCTTTCATTTGCGACTGTTCTTTCGTCGCTTTATACAACGATGTCGATAATTCTGCGCGATATCGCCGCGGGACCGAGCGGGTTCCGATTTACCAGGTGAAAATCAATAGCAGTTTTCGAAGTTATATCATGGGTTACGTTATTATCTCCTGAATCTAGGCATATGTAATTGTCTCTCATGTAGTTGTTAGGAGAAAATTAGATTGAGAGTATGTAAAAATTTGACGCCTACAAATAGGTTTTATAATGTTATACTTGGGTATTGTGTAGTCACCTCGCAATCACATTAAACTCGCTAACTACAACTTTTATCGCGGAGCGATTACAAAATTCCTCCATCGCCGAGTCACAATCCGCGCATAAAACAGTCGTCGCCGAAAATAATTCACTGTATTGCCGCATAATTTAAAGGGGCGTAACTAGAACCGGCCGCTCGTTAATTGATAATAATTCCGTTTGACGAACTGGCGCGCGTTAAATCTGTTTGCAAAAAGCATCCTCGTTAATATAATTTTAGAACGGCGCGTTATCGGCGACGAAGCCAACGGCCGCTTTAATTGCGCCGGAATATATCGAAGCTTTATATTTCCGGTGGATTTATGTAGCCAGCGATCGTCGCGAAAAGAGCGTGTAAAGTTGTTAATTCTCGTTAACCGTCGGAATTGCCGGGCAGCGGGAGTGTCGGCGGACCGAGCGGATTGCGGGTTTAATAGCAAATTATGCGTTTCGCGGCGCGGTGCCGTGCGGCACAAAATGTCCGCCGACTATTCGGTCGAACAAAGGCTTCAACGCGGCGAGAAATGAGCCCGGCGGATTTTTCTTTTTTTTTCACCTGGCCGTCGACCGCGTTTATGCATCCTTCTTCGGGAATTTGGCGCGCCGCGACCCGATCCGGAAGAAATCGCATTGTGCAAAGCGCGCGCGCGTTTAACAGGCGCGCCGCTGCGCCGCCATTCGAAACAAGCACTTTCGAAATTTCGCGCAATGCGATTCACCGCGGAAAATGGACCCATTTAATCGCATCTACTTCACGATCCGCCCTTCGCCATTACGATCACCGCGGGAAATGAATTTAACAAACTGCAAGAGCACCGCGGTTTTGCATGCCACTCCACCCTCCATTCTTCAATCTCTATTTTCATTATAAATAGTGGAACGCGGGCCCGGTATAAACCCGGCACGGGAACTTTCAATTGTCCCTGCTAGTGCTATTCGAGCCATTCAATAGGTAAATTGATCGACTCTATTTTTCCCGGGCTCTTCAGTTTTGGTGTTTTTAAATATATTTTCTGCGCGCGTCGCGTTTCGACGATGGGAAATGGTCGTTTTATTGAGTGGACAGAACGACGGTGTTGTTTTCTGTTGACGTGGAAAATTCGGCGCGGCATTATCGTTTCGTTTAACCAATTATGCAGTGTTCCCGATTGTGTTTCATTATCTTGAAAGCTGTTAGCTATGTGCCACAGATCATTCCATTATAACTTGAAATGATACGCAGCTTATAGCCATCTTGGAGAAGAACGACTTAAAAGAGAAAATTCTCAATATAACACAATCTAAATAAAAGTATTCCATAATTCAATTTCAAAAGAATCCTTCCTATTCCGTTGACACTTTTCTCCAGTAGAAGCTTGATCATTTTATAATTTCATTTTAATTATGAACCATTCATCGTTTATCACCTTCCAATAAATATTTCAAAGACTCCCAATTAGAACCGATTAATAATGGCGAGCGAGTGAATGGGGATGAAGGAAGAAAGTATCCTTTGACCGGTTCGATTGGTTCACGGGAGTTCGTGGTTGTCGAAACACGATACCATTGAGTCGCGAATTTCACAAGGTAGCGGCTGGTATCGGGCCCCTCTGATTCGTAGGTCGCGGGATCGGGTTTCATAGGTCTTTTGATTTTCGCTCACCTGTATCCTGTCTTCGGGCAGATCGGTTCGGAGGCTGAGCATCTCGCGAGCATAGACGTCAGGATAATGGGCCTCTTTGAACGCTGCCTCCAGCTCCTCCAGCTGTTGCGACGTGAAGATCGTCCTGGAGCAACAACCGTATGAACCTAGTTATATGCCATTACAGCTTTTCCCTTAAACCTAGCTTACACTCGCAGGGAAACTACCAGAAAGAAGATGTCTACTTCAATCGTACGAAAAATTCTATCCTCTCGTTCGAGTTAAACCATCCGAAAAATAAAGCATTCAGAATGTAAAATTCTGAAAGAATGCAGAGTTCATGTTTTACTCTTCATTACAGATGTTATTCATTTAGTAATACAACAGAATTTAATGCGAACGAAAGGATGACAATATATATTGTCATCTATTAGTAAATTAGTAGATCACAATGATTCAAATAATCCAAATATCAATACACAAACACACTTAATAATTCCTCAACCCTTTGTCTAAAAGCTTGAACCGCAATTCACGCGCCCCGAAAAGGAAAACACGCGACATGTCTTACATTCTATCGGCGCAGAATCGATTTCACGGGATAATTATATTTTTTAACGAGCAATTCCCGGGTCCGTCCGTCCGGCGCGCAATTATTGGCGAACGGTGATTGCATTCGGATTGTCTGTCACTTCAAAATAGCTGAAAACTCGTTACCAGCCGACTCGTCGATTACACGATGAAAAGTCTAAAGTGATATAGATTCGTATGCGACCATGAGGGGAATGGAAAGTTTATCATTATGAGGGCCGGCGCGCAATTGTTTCCCCTCCCTTGTGTTGTTGATAATCAAGCGAAAACGCGGAAGAATGGCGCCGGACCCGTCCCTGTCGATGATTTTACGAAACTGTTATTAATTATTCGCGCGGTTCGTCTGTCGCACTGATTTCGCCACCGAATTTTTGCCGAATGGCGCGGGGGCGGGAATTAATGGCGACGCTCTGTGGCGCTCGCGTGCTTCGTGACAGAGAAGACGTATAATTTTATTTTCTAATTACCCTCTCGTATATTCGATCTGTATTCAAGCGATGTCACACATTAATGCAATAATATGTTCAAATAAATGATAACTTATACATTCTTTGCACGGACAAATTCACGGTTGATGTTCGGGTGAGATACTCACCTATGACGGCGTTTCTTCTTCTTCTTTTTGCTGAAACCGGAGAGACCGTCGACCGTGAAATCCTTTCCTGACTCTATGTTGTGCCCGACTCCTGGAACAGAACGAGCGACGTCAGTGGATTCCCTTGTAACCGTGCACGGGTATTCGTTTTCATGATAAGAATTATAATGTAGGTATATACCCTTATGCGGATTCTTGTGAAGTTTCACTTGAATCACGATGAAGGAGAGTTGGGCACTGGCTTTTTTAATGTCTATTCTTTGGTTGAAGATATTTCGAGAGTTGTATTTCGAGAATTTTTGAAATAGTAGAGACGAAGAATTTATTAAGTATTGTGCAAATGAATGGACTGCTTTTAATTACGTATAATTCCATTCGAAACGGGAGAAAGAAGTGGTTGGTGAACGAAAGAAAGGTTTCCCAAATTTATAGTGTATTCTGTACTATCCCAAAACGTACGAAAAACATCGAAATTGAAATAAAAAATTGAATTATTTGTTACCTGTAAAACACAACGTCAATCTGAATGTCGACCATATTGGACATCAACTATGAAACAATTCCCGAAGCAACACTTCATTCTTCCCAAAAACAGAATTCTACTGTTAATTATATTCACCAGAACTTCAGAAAGTTTCAAAACTCAAATTTGTAATCGATCATAAGGACCACGAAGCCAACCTATTCTTTCCAATAATTAATTATGAAATGTTGCGATAACCGTTGTTCCCTAATTGTCATATCAGTTTTCATTCGCAAATGAGTTTTATCTTTCATTTTCCATCGAGTTTCATTTCCGGTACACTCTGAGGAGAGCAAACATAGTCGAAATAACAGGATATAGGCGCGTGCGGGCGTATCTTCTTTCGCGAAAAATCCGTGGCTAACGGGCGGCAACGTTCCATTGGGCCGGGAGCTCATTATTTCATAGCACTGGCTGTAATTGATAATTACACACGCCGCTTTGTTCGGGCCGCTCAAACACCTCACGGATCAAATTACCCATTATACCTGACTTGCCAATGCATCGGGACCACGCGCGGCGCACATCCAACGCAAATTATGCTGGACGAGACTCGCCTCGCGGATCTCTCTTCCTATTTAAATCCCGTTAAACAGACTTTTCTGCTTGTTACCCTTCGTTCGAATCTATTAGCTTATCTTCCGAATATTTTATGAGCGCGACGCGACATCACAGAATTATATTTTCTTCCAATTTATTTTTCCGCGTTGTTCATTAAATCACTTTTATACATTTAAAAAGGCCGTGCAATCGTAATTAAACCGCGGACTCGCGGTTTCAAAGCATCAAATAAAATAACGACTATAATGAAACTTGATCAAATTTCGTTTTGTTTTCGATCGAACACGACTCTTCGTTACTTTAAATAATATTTCCCGAACTCGCCGGTCAAATCAGTTTGATTAAACATTTTTGGAAATCCATTTTAAAAAATATTTCGTGCGGTATCATTGGTAACGCATGCGTTGATCGAAAAACATGGGTTAGAATTAATATCGCTTCGCCAGGATATCTCAATTTACATCCCTTGACATCGAGCCGAGTCCAATAACCGCGCTCTCGCAGAAAAGGTGGGCGCAATTAACATTAACGTGGAACAATTAGCGAAAGCAGCGCCGATTGGAGCACAATTTCCGCTTCGGGAATCGACTGTCGTTAGATGGACTCGACACTCGATATCTCCCGATAAGACCCGCTTCGATTCGCTTGGAATAATCCGTGCGTAGCTCGCGGCTAAGAACTTTAGATGAATTTCACGAAAATTTCAGCGTTGTTTATTATATATAGAGAAAAAATGAAAAAGTAGATATTTTTTCATCCGCAACTTTCTTACGAAGTAAAGTATTCGCGTTCCCACGAATTATTGATAATATAATAAAATTGACGAGTATAGTTGTAAACTGTACGACAAGAGGTTAAAAGTCAACACACAAGAGCACGACTCGGATTTCCAGTGGTTTGTGAGCGTCAGAATTTCAAATCCTTGCTCGAAAGATCTATTTTTTCCAATTTATAAAAAGCTACAGTAACGCCACACAAAGGAGAACGTGGGCACACGTTACCTGGATTTTATTTCTCTTTCAATTTTCATTTTTTCCTGTTAAATCGAAGTTATTCGCGAACGATGCGCGGGGTAAATGGCAATTTTCCGCGAGCGGTCGCGAAGGCGTTTTAGAAAGGCTTAGCCGGGCGGGCGGACGGTCGGACAGGACCCATGGCCCGAAAATAATCATCAATTATAAATTAATTTCGAATTAACGAGCGACAGAGCCGGGCTCCGTAGCGTGCGCGGCACGCTCCACAATGAAACCCTCTCTCCCCGGGGCTAACTCGTTACTACAGTTGTTGGTGCTGGCGCTGGCAGCCGGCTGGTGCCGCCACTACCGGCGGCTAATTAACTATTAATTAAGAGCTTAATTCCAATTATACGTGTCCTTCGACTAATTGGACGCCCGAAACGCATTGCTGACGTCACACGCGCGACGCGGGAGCGCTTGCAGACACCGCGCTCGTCCTACTTCTTCCACGAGAAAATCATTTCCACGAGCGATACGTCCGCTGATAGACTCGACACACCTGTCGCGGTGCGCGTCGTTTAACGCGTCGATTACCACGGTGGTCACCGATGGCCGGCGCTTCTGTATTGCTGGAAGACGATTGGAATGTGCAAGATGATGGTTGCCGAATAAGAACGTTTCAGGGCGGAATTATTGGAGGATTTATACGACAGTGTAACATAGGAATTAGCACAGTAGATAAATAATACTTATTTGTAGTTATCTTTGCTACGTAAGACTAAGTGATATGTACGATAGTCAAGATTCTCGTGACAGTCAATTTGTAAACACGTTGATCATAATTTTCACAAAGATCGTTTACTCAATCGTCTTGCCTCCTATAAAACTAATAAGATTCGTTTCGTTTGGTACTATCATCAAGATAATGAATTGTTAGATTTAGATTATAAAATCGCTTAGCATGATTGAATATTAGGGTAATGATAGGCAATCTTAGCAGACATCATTGGTAGTATTCTTTCATTAATTGAAATTCAAGATTTTGAATAACTTCTTACAAGGAATATTTCATTTACATCATTTATAACGTTTACAGAATACAACGGGAGAAAAATTGTATAATAGAAAAGACTTATGAAGTCGTTGTGTTACTTTCAATTCATTCTAATCGGTGTCAAAGAATGTGTTTGTTCTTGATGTCAGTTTTCCGTGCATTTCTTTTTTGTTCTTTTCCACGGATTTAAGGTTTTATTTGATCAGAAAGCATATAGTATAAATTTCAGTAGTCGCCGAAAGAAAAAAATTGTGTGGAGTAAATTACACCGACCTAAAGGGGAAACGGAGCCGTCAGTTCGCGGGGAAATACGGTCGAAGCTAGTTTTCCGAGCGCGTGAACCTCGAAAAAAGGAAAGAAGCCCGAAAAAGAGTGAAAAGAAGGGGAATTCTGACGAATTTCGAGGCGAGCAGTTACGCGGCCACGACAGAGGACGCACTGCTGCTGAGAATGGCGTACACTGCTTCTAAAAACCATTGTTTATTCTTAGTTGTTCGTCACGTGCATGCATTGCAACTCTTTAGCTCTGATTTACATTGTGTTCCGCTGCATTTCAAGAATGGTCCCTCAAAGTCGATGCTGTATAGTCATCAGTAATATTTATTGAACGATATTCAAGAGACAATTATATTATTTAATATTTAAAAAATTCAAAGATATTATATTTGACAGAATTGATGAGCATGTTATTTGAATGATACATGCAGTCACAGTTAGGACTAATAACTAGTAAAAAGCTATGACATTAGAAGTGGATAGAACATCATTAAAATTATTATTACAATATTAAAATTTGTTCATGAATTCTCATCGAACATTGTAGAAGTATTCGATTAACACAATAATCTACTTCTAGTAATTCTCGATATCCGCTCAGAGAGGGTTAAAGACAATATAATCTAAATAAATTCTTTAAAATACAAAGCACTAACATTCTAGTCTTATCTCCTCAACGATTTCAAACTCAATAATATAAAAATAGACTATATTAACACAAGGTAACATCTTAATCACGCTCCACCTTTTAAAACATTAAAAGAGTCACCATGAAAACCACTTAATCAATTTCCAGCAACAAAAATTCCACGGTCAAATCTTTAAAATATCCTCGTCAGGCTGTTTAAAAGAAACTATCATCCACATCACTGATCTGCGCGCGTCTCAAGGGTGGGATTTCCGCGCAGCTCGCCAAGACGAAGAACTTAATGAGGAAGCGTCGGTGGCATTCAGCCGATTCAAGCGAGCCTCTGGCTTAATTTTATCCAACATTTCTTAGACACAGCTCCTTCAGCTCGCCTCCAGCTTTCTCGACCCGCGTATCAAATAAATCTCGCTCTATTTATCAGCTCGACCGTCAAAAGCGAACAGATAATTGGAACAGAATGGAAACATAGAGGGCCAAGGATCGAGCTGCCGTGCAAGAACGTGTTTCTACTTATTTTCCCTAAAGCTGCCAGTTTCGTATTCCAGACTTGTCAAGCTAGAACGACTTCCTCTCGGTTCGCCAGAGCCGGAACATAAATATTTGAGAATCACGGAGCTCGAAGACACACCACGCGCGAAACTCGCGCGATCCATTGTTCCTCGAGATCGTAGAGAGGCCTCTTTACGGCACCCCGGCTCACGCGTTGCCTCCTGCTCCCGGGTTTTTAAGTACGCTTATTTACCGGGTACCGTCGCCGCGATCCCCGAAGAACCCGATCACGAATGCCGGGTGGTAATCAGCCGAGGGAAACGGAGGTACAGGTGTGTTTCTGGTGTCTGGCTCCACAATCTCAACGCTTCGAACTTTCCACCCAATCACGTTGTACTCGGATAGACTGGGAATCGATGTTAGAAATTGAATCTTATATATGGATTTCAGAGTGAGATTTTCAATTCCGAGCGGATGTTTCTATAATTCTTAATCAGAGGATAATTGACACGTTTGCGAAGAGTGTAAATTGTATTGAGATGAATTTTTTGAAGTGTTACTGAGCTGAGAGGTTGCGTCGGTT